TACGTTTAAAAAAACTGACTTCAAAAACTAAAAAGTATAAAATGACTTTATAAATATTTAATTTAATACGCCTCTTAGGCAAAATTAATACCTTTAATAGTAATAAAATACTATTATTTGTATGTGCTACCTATTGATACGTTTGAAGTCGCTGCCTTTAGTACCCTAATACCCACTTATCGGGCGGGACACGGGTTAATAATAATATATAATCAACCTAAATGAAAACTCCTAAAAAAGCCATACACAAACTAAAATAAAATTACATCGTCCACGTAGATAAAAATGTTCATAAAATGAAAACTACTGAGCCAAACTATGTTAAATTTTTATGGGACCAAATGGCAACTATTCCGCATCAAACTAATGAAGAATCACGTAAATCGGATCATAAATCTCTGCGTAATCGGTGTACATACATAAAAAAATACCAATCGAATTGAGAACCTCCTTCTTTTCGAAATCGGTTAAAAACCTATTTTATTTTTCATATCCAAATTCTTTCAGGTATTCTGACAAACATGACATTTGTGTCATCTAATGGATTTTCTATGCTAATTGATGATATCATAATGTAGTAATTAGTCATGCAATTTTTTTGTTACATGTCTTATCTTAAAATTCTTAGAAGTTTGTTTATTTAAGTAACAAATAAAAATTAGTGGCCACCTATCACAAACAGAAAAAACTCACTGTCTGTATTATTTTTATATTATAATTTACATATATTAAGTTCAATGTCAATATTATCCAATTATATTATATGATTTGTTTGTCAATTATATGATTCGTATCTAAAAAGTAGATACTTACATATATGTATTACCAGAATAAGTCTTAATAGCTATAAAGTAGACATAACCGTCTGGACTGATTTAGGTGAAAAGTACACAAATAGCCTGACCTGGAGTAATTAATATCTAGGTACTGTTAGGTACCTAAGAACGTTGAAAAAATTATAATGAATATTATATAAATAACACAAAAAATGATAATAATTATTAATTACTATATCTATACATATAATAAAATTCTAACTATGCCGAATCTTTACATCAAATATTTTTTAGAAAATCTTATTGAAATAGTCAATAATATTATCGATACAGAGGCCGAATGTATGGTTTTTAGAATTTTTGTCCGTCTGTTACCGTATCACGGAAAAACCACTGGAGGGATTTTGATGAAATTTAGTATGATGGTAGCTGGTTATCCGGGTAAACATATAGGATACTTTTTACCGCGGGAAAATATCTCATTTCTGAGAAAAAATATATGGAAAACCTAAGAATTTGGTTTTTGGTAATCTGAACGCGGGCGGAGCCGCGAGCAATGTTAGTAGTATTATATATACTTAATGTAGGAGCCTACATTAAGTATATATAATACTTATTAAAGTAAAAGAGTACCTATAGAACGAATTCGTCCTTTAAAAAATATTTTGTTCAAATTTTTGCTATAGGTAAGCTTATATGTATAACGATCGCACCAACGTGTTTGATGTTGTTAATATTTGATTATTATGATCGATGAAGGTTTATACATGGTTCATATTAATTGGCAATTTAGATTATTCATCGTGTTTAATAATTTATCAAATTCAATTAGGTATCCAATTAAAAAGGACAACGATTAAATTACATGGAGAGCTTGTTTTTACATCAATCTACCGATAAGTGTGAAATTAAAACAAACATAAACGTTTATATAATATAACTGCGCTGGTGAAGCCAATATTATACTTTTCTTTTAGGATTCTGTTTTATTATTTTTCTTATATGAAGTAAAGTACCAATAAATGAATGAATTTTTACTTCTAAATTTGATAACTTTCTTTTTGAAATAATAATTAATTAAAATATAGATAGGTAACTAGCAGACACCTCAAGCACGCCCGCTCCAATCTACAGAAAATCTCTTTGGCTTTATGTGGGGGTAGGAGGGTGAAAAAATACTTTACGACCTATTCTCCTACAACTACTAACCTAAACTACCAAATACACAAATAAAAATTCATGAAAATCGGTCGAGCCGTTTCGAAGGAGTGCGACCACAAACACCTTGACATGAGATATTTATATAATATTAGATTATCGTATAATAACAATTTTTTTTAATACTTGTGTAATTAGGACAAAATTTTACTTATCTATAAAATAATACTTAAAACATAATTATCTTGAGTGTAATCGCGATTGATTTCGTATAATTTAGTCCATTCGAGTTACTACCAAGTTCTGCAAGAAAACCCTTTAAACTATTGATTTAAAAAAATCCCCTATAATTTTTTTCTACTCGCAAAGCTTAAAATGGTGAATTTGACAATAAGATCTGATAGATAATGTCACCGTTAGGATGCAGCGTTTTTACAATGTAAAGAAACGTGTTTTTAAAGCATTTGATATTATAAAAGAAATTATTTTATCGAAGTAAAAAAATATATGTACATTGTACAATAAATAGTGAAATAAAACTATAAAAACCAATTAGATGATGATCAAAAAACTTAAAATATTTTTTAAAATTATCGTTAAGTGTAGTATATTATATTTTGCACATTACTAGTGACATTTAAATGCAAGATGTAGTTAACTTTAATATTTTGACATATTATAGTAGGTGTTTTAAAAGCTTGAATATCCTTGATATGATAAAAAGGGTAACTGCATACCAAGTACCGGTCCACTCTCAGTGCCGCATACTTACTTAAATAGTTTACACTATATTACTAAAATATCGAATTCAGTGCTTGGCATATTAAAAAAAAAAGTATAGTTATTACACGTTATTAGAGAGTACAGTAGTTTATTATAGTTTATGCTAAAAATATATTATATATATATTTATATTTATATACTTATTACAAGTTCTGATAGATGCATTCATTCTTATTGCAAGCAAGCAATTTCTGTTTTTCTTTTAAGTATAATGGGGGAAAATTAAAATAATAATTACTTAAGGCTATATAATATAATAAGACTGTATAATATGTTAATTACGCAATGTAAATAACAGAAAGAACGTCCATGAGTACTGATTCCATAATCAATACTCGAATCTCAAGTTTCTCACAACGATAACTAGATGTGAGTGCGAGATGCTCCGTCCCTAATTGTTAGTAAGTCGTAACCTATCAATTTGTCATTATTGCACGTATCTAAATGCGACCTAAATTGTTTAATGAACATTCATTATTTTATCTTTCTTAACGTATGTACCTATTACTATTTGATTATCTCATTTGCTCCAAAATTCCAAATTACTTATTTATTTATAGGTAGACTAATGATATATTTCATTATTACATTGATAGTAAATTGTTTTATAAATGTTATAATGAAACCTAAATTATAACACAATAGGTACGTTTTAACGGTTAGTATGAAATACAAATCTTTGAATTTCTCGGCTTTTCTGTATAGTAATTATAGTAATAATATGGCATGTATTATACATATAAACCTCCCTCTTGAATCACTATCTATTGACGAAGACGGCATTAAAATCCGTTGAGTAGTTTAAAAGATATAAGCGAACAGACAGTGGTAGCGACGTCATTTTATACTATGTAAAGATTTTGACAAACTCATCATCAGAGATATTATCATCATAAGTTATAAGGTATATATTATAACTATATAACTATCTAATTCAAAAGCTGTCTAATACATATAAATCCATTTAAAATTTTAAATATACATATATTTTTATAAATAAATACAAATTTCCACTCCAATACGTTCGCGTTCCGGAGACTAAATAAAAGGGTTTCTAAAAATAACAATAGGGAAACAAGATTTGTACATTATCTCACAACGAGGTACCTATTGGTGGCAAGATAAGGCTTATGAAACATTTACCGTGCACGTCTAATCGCATACGTGAGTGTTGCTAGGTGTGCCGTGTTTGTTTATAACGAGAGAAAAGTATAAGGTTAAAAATTATCGTCAAAAGCGTAATCTATCGAAGTTTAATGTACCAAAACGTAAAAACCCCTATTGTACAGCGTGCATTGCTAACGTTATTTTTATGAGACATTATAAGCACATTGTAATTATTAAATGAGACTTATAAGTCGTTATAACGAAACTTTTTTTTTCTCTATCAAAGTTAATATGGCTAGCTTAAGAAGTAGTTCTTAAGCTAGCCATATTAACCTTCATCATCATGATTTGACCAATCGAGTTCCAAGAAAACTTAGCGCTTAGGCCACCAAATAGGTTTAATATAGACGGAAATACATATTTGTAAAGACTAAGCAAATAGGCTTTACAAATGAAAATATATTTTTATCAGAATTTAGTTTACTAATAGATAAATTACAACCCTAATTCCGGCGCCATATTAGCATTACGGCGGCGCGATTGTTTCTAGAATACAGGCGATAAGTTGGCGCCACTGAACGTTGAATTCGTAATACCAGCTTCAGAGAAGTCAGACCGGACGCGCCGCCGTCTCACGATTTGTCGGCAACCCTTATGGATACAATACTTCGGAATGAATAGACAATAATGTATTGAATTAAAAACCATATATATATCTTGGTAGTATGGCTTTATGACCATCGTAAGAAGCTTTTCTTTGAATTACTGAATGCTAATCACTGAAGTGGGTAATGTATATTCAGTATATTTACCTTGTGGCATAGACAGAGGAAATGACTGTGAATGGGATTTTATGATAATTGATAATATATTATTTTGCATCCTGTGTTTATGTAACCTTACAAATTCAATAGATATTATTAATTTAGCGTAAATTCCCGCAGTTCTGCCCGCATATTTTTTATAACACCTTCCCCAATAAGTGGACCATAAAATGTAAATAAAATTCTTTACATCGAACTATTACTTCAAGAGGTTGGAGCGTTTAATGTTTAAACGCTAACAAACCACAAACTCTAGCTTTTTATATTAGTTAAAACTAAGTGAACGAAATTTTACGAAAAAAGTAAATAGTTTAAAAGTTTAATATTCTTATTGTTTCAGATGGCTTGAGTAATGGAGGGCGAGTGCGCGGAGGAGGGCTGGCTGCTGGTGCGCGTGCACGTGCCAGAGCTGAACGTGCAGAAGAGTCTGCAGTTCTCTCGCGACCAGCTCGTGTGGGACGTCAAGCAGCAGTGTCTTGCCGCCTTGCCTAAGGTCGGTATTTTCTCATTGTAAAAATAATAAAATGTGAATCTTCTTAAACCCCTTTATATTTATTTAAGTTTTTACTTATACGATTTTGATAGCAATTACTGAGATATAAACTTTTGTAATTTACGGTTGTAATATTACACAAAACATTTTAACGATGTATCATTTATTTTGTACTTTTTGGCAGTAACGTGTAATAATACTCACACACTCTCGAAATTTTGAAGTTAAATTAAATTTGTTTACTTACTCCGAAAATTGCTTAGAAAGTCTTAAGTGAAAATACATTCGTGGATTTGTTTCCAGAACTTGTTAAAAATTAAATTACTGGTATACAATTAACTTTGGTAAGGCTGTCTTACCATCTGTCGCTTGTAATTTTAGCCTAATTACATAAGTTATAAAGAGTTACAAGATTACCATCAAATTTATTTAGATTTATATTTATAATAAAGTAAATTAACATTTAACATTTTCATGTCATATTTTCATAGAAATGTCCTTTCGGTCAAAAAAATCCTTTTGACCGAATTCGGCACCGCGGCCAGTCTCACTTAGACTAAACATGTGTACAGGAGATATTTTATTGCGTGCCCAAGAATGTGCATGAACATTCTGTATTTCTGTCACTGTCATACTCTGATAGACGACAATTTTTCATGAGAGATGAGAAATCAAGCACAGGTCTAGCGGCTTTACTTGCTCTCCAAGGCATAGGGCTGAAAAGTTGCCAACTTCTACACTTCGGGTTGTTACTGACAATTTCTTAACAGAAAACTAAATGGCTACGAGAATACTTGGCCCAACTCGCACTCGAACCCAGATCTTTGGATCTGCAGTAGGTATATGCTAGCCACTGAGTCTACCAAGGAAATTTAATATATTCTATTCTCAACCCACTATTTAATATGCACATACGAAATAAAACATATTACAATAATGCAAAGATAAAATTTTCATCAGTGTCAATGTGAAGTGATACTTAAGATTTGATATTGATATAATTGTTACCCAATAGTTGTACAAGTACTTATAAAAATAGAACATAGCCACTTTATTCGCTACTGTATACTTTACTTGATAATCACTGTTAGTAAAAAAAATAATGAATCTATGGTATGTACATATTCAAAAGATTACTTGTAAAATCAAGCTATGTATGTATGTATATGTATATGTATATATATATATATATATATATATATATATATGTATATATTATAATCATAAAGTAAACTCGACAAAGATTAAAGTTAAAAGATGAAATTAATGTAGACTGTTGGTTCACACGCTCACTTTTTATTGACAGTTGAAATAAAGCAAGCGTTTGCTTTTATTGCTTAACTCGATCACTTTCAAAACCACATACGGTACTGTGAATTACTGAAAGTATGCATTTAGAGACCGTTAAGTTGTTTCTAAATAACATACATTATAAAAAATACATATATTAACTGGCCAAAATGGCGTTAAGCTACTTGCTATCAAGGTAGACTTATCTAAATTGCAATAATATTTTTAATGCGTAAAAAGAGAAGATAGATCGGTATGAATCCATCACACTTCTTTATTTTTTCTTCATCATCGTTTTCTTCTACTGCATACATTTGTATGTATAATAATAATAATACCTAAAATCACATATAAAACACATTTAAATTAATCTCAAAATATCGGATACGAGACGCGCGTCACCCACCTTGCCTTGATGATGCTATGTCAGATTTTTACTGATGTGCACACAGTAAAGTAGCATTGTACTTTAATAAACAAATAAGGATTTAATATTGCATATATTACCCACGAAACAACGAGGCCTGAACCTACGAATAGACTAACATAACAATATATATACATTATGTACATTTTTATTTATCCCTATATGGATTAATGTTATTTTGTACCTAATTGTTACTTCTGGTGTAAATATGAAATGACGCTGGTTAGTAATTTTCGAGCTTAATTAATGCGGCAATGTTTGATGTGTTTATTTATAATTTAACACTGAAACGGGACTACTGCAGTACTATATGTAAGTACCTACTACCTAGGTACTCTAATTATCTTAAGCTGCGCTGATTAAAATGTGTTAAGACCTAGTTACTTTCAAAAATAATAAATATACTATAATCGAAATAAATCCTCATATTAAGTATGAGTGTAATTTTAATAAAGGTGAAATATATTTTTTTATAATCTTTATTGCTTTTAAGCCTGCTAATATTTTTTGAAACGCAATGCCATTGGTCAGAACGAATATGACGTCAGAGTATATATGACACAGCGATTATCGAGTTATGGCTTAAGCGAAAGTCGTCATTTTTCTGTGTATGATATACTTTGACGTCACGCCAAGCGGCGATCAAAACGACAGGTGTTCAAAATATTCGTATCGGTATAATATTAAAAAAATATATATACTAAATTTAAGTTTGTTGGATATTTTTTTAAATTATATACTGATTTAAGCTGTTGTATTTTAAAAAACACGCATATTCCATATTCACACAATGTGATATTATATAGAAGTCGTCACTGAGCCTACTGCTTCAAAATGTTAGCAATATTATTTGCATACATTTACATTATTTGTGTTCACAAGACGGTCACCTCTAATCAGAAAATGTTGAATATTTATTATTTGTTTTGGCTATAATTTCGTAATTATTCTTTTATAAGTCAGGTTTTATTATTCAAATATAACAATCTGATGATATTAATGCTCAATTAATTAGCATTTGAATCATATCTCTTCTCGATTCTACGTGACATTGGCAAAGTAATCTATGCTAAAGTTGCACGTTTTGGAGCCATTAACAAGAAAATTGAATTAAATGAAATTGACGTCAAAGGCATTCTAGATAGTTACTCGCTGTTTCCGTCAGAGGTCGAGATTTTACCTCACACGGATCTTGTATCTATAGTTAGTATACTAGCGTTTATAAAATCACAAGTTTTATCAAAATTTGTTGAGTACTTAGTTTTTACGTGATTAAGTAACAATCATATATTCATACAAACATACATCGTGACAAACTTCACGTTTATAATATTTGTAGTATTATAATAAGAAGAGAACAAAGGTAAAGGATTTCTTAATCTTAGAATATATTGACAACATAAAATACAATTATATAATTTATGAATTTTACATTGATTTAAATAAAACGAATATCTTGACGATGACAGTCTTGAAATGTATCTCATTCGATACTGTTGAAGAATAAGAATTGCAAATTGACCCAAATCAGAAGCTTTTTCATTGTTTGTCAAGATTCCAATGAAACTCTCACAATCACTGTTCCCTGTTAATATAATAACAAATGAAGAGTTAAATATTTCTTGATTATCTTCTTATAATTTAGACATTTCTTTTCAAATATTTTTAAATGATGTCCTTATAAATTTTTAACTTGAAATAACCGTTATTCAAAGTATCCACAACGATTTCTATTAAAAACTTAAAAAAAATGTTTAGCACTAAACAAAATAGAAACCTCAATTATCCTAATGTACACTAATATAGGTCAAAGATAAAACAGGTTAGCGGGTGCTCTATATTTTTAATCAAAAACATTCATCCCGGTAGTAATTCAGTAGGTAGGTATTTTTAATTTTTTATTTGCAAAAGTTCAAAATATTTTGTAAGGCAACTATGCTGCTTACGACCTAATTTATTATTCACTGAGCAATGAGCAGCTTTACCAAGTAACTAATTAACAATATTTTATTTTTGTTCGACGACACGTTTGGCTCAGTATGCAGCCCTACTTGCTATGCCAGCGATCGCGGGTTCGAGTTCCGCTGGAGGCATTCATTTGTGTAATGAGCACGAACGTTTGTACTCCAGTCATGGGCTTTTATATTTATAATATGTATGAATGTATTTAAAGTTATATATGAATGTGTAGTGTATCAACTACCGCTAGAAGACCAAAAGTGCTATTGAAAATAAAATCCTTAATGAATTTAAAAAATCAGCAGAGTACAATTATTGCGGTCATGTCAAATTTTGCGGGTCAATAAGTAGCATTGGGAAGCTGCCAGTTCAGAAACAAGGTAAGAGCGGTTTTCTTTAAATGGGTCATACTTCTCATAGGAACGAAAACTGATAAGCAAAATACTATAAACAAATGAAAAATGGTTTTCATACCTGTCGATGTTCTGTCGTAAGTTTTAGTGTCTGAAACCTCTTAGCGACCGTACCTTTATTATATGGTATCTTCAAAATTATGAGGTGCTTCTCGATAAGTTGTAACAGCTGTATAGAGCGGTAATGACATTATTTTGTGCTGCAATATTAATATTGCCCTGCTACTTTTATGCAAAAAAATTAATTTTAAATACAAAATATCTGAGTTAAGTTTGTATTTATTATTTTATGAGCACGACGTACTTTATATATATTTTAGAGTATTTTTTATAAAGGGATTCCAATAATAGCTCAAGGTTATTTATAGAAAAGCCAAGAATCTTGAGGCGAGGGCTGGTTCATTCGTCTCACGATCAATGGCCATTGACTAAGAACTTGATGGGGCTTGAGGTTTTATCTAGGCCTATTAGAAAGACGGATGACCTAATAAGCGTAATCATAGCATCTACTTCCATATTATTATAGTGAGACAACGGCGATTACCTTGATGGATGATGCCTCACCGTAATATAGCTACAACAAACGAGCTTTAACAAAAAATGAATGTTAGGGATGAGTAATTGCTGGATGTATGTTTAAAGTCTTGCGAAATATTTTTCGGACTTTAAATCTAAATATTAAGCGCTATCTAAGACTAATCTTAATAGTACAGTCAGGTCATGTATCTTAATTTACTTGTAAATATAAATGTCTAAACAAACATACAGTTAATCTGATAATAAAGCCAACTTTAATAAGCACACAGGAAAGGAAAATATTAAGCTCGAGTATACTTTTATCCATGGTAGTGAGGGCGCCCACGCAGAAGTGGGCGAGACGAGAACGACGACAATCGTAAATCGCAATAAATGCAACATTAAAACATCATCTATCCGGTCGTGTGGCGATAAATATATCTCTTTTGCAATGTTCATGCATATTATTTTTGCCTTGCAAATGTGCTCCTGGTACCGTGGGGTTGGCAATAAGTATAAGTAAGACGGACGCACGTTGCGTTCAAATGATTTGAGTGAAGTCACTTGACAGATTTATTTTGATACTTCTCAGTTCTCGATATGTTTCCGTTATTTCGCACCTTCTGTATTATCGTTTACATTCTTCATTTTTTATGTAATTTTGCCGCATCTCGGAGAGAAAAATGAATATATATATTTTTTGAGAAATTGATAATACATTATCACAAAGATTTTTCTATACTATTTCTTCCAATCGAAGCTCTCAATCAAATTGAAACCGTAACGTTAATATATTGACTGAAATATTTACAAAGTTGGGGTCTCCGATTGAACATTCGATCTTTCGTACGGCATTACATGTCGGAGCCTCAACCTATTATTTGTTGGGGCCCTCAAGACCTCGGAAAAATCACCGGCCGTCAGCGTACGAACATACTCGACAATACAAACCAGTTCCTACATACCGTTACATGGAAGTAATTTCTTAAACGCAGTCTCCAGTCACGCCAAACGAATCGAACGATCTAAAGATACTCACTCGTCGGTCGCCATTTACATACTGACGTTTGAGCGTAATGGCGGACAATTAATAAAACGTCTTATGTTTGAATATCGAACACCTACTTAGGATTTACAATATTAAAAGGCGATTTGTGTGTGGTGCTTCGTTTCATGGATTAAAGTTATACCTATTAAAGAGACGAAATCTAAAATATGTTTTTAAATATTTTAGATTTCTCACAATGGCTTTAAATTACTATATTATGTTCAGTTGTAGTATTAGCAGTTAGCAACACTAACACTTTGTTGACTATTACTCAATACAATTCTTTCTAGCTACAACACCCAGCGACCTCTGACAAAGTAAGGGCCATGTGTATTGTATTCTATATGTCTGTATACTCCATTTCACCCCAACCGTCTAGTATAAAAAGTATTATATGTATTAAATTAACATTATATAATAACATATTTATAACATAATTAAGCCACTTACTATAATAATAACTTTTAAGTACCTATGACATCCAAAACCTTACTTATATCTCCATATATAATAACAATTAATCAACCCTTGCCATATTATGAAAATTATTTACGTAATTATAAATATTAATATATGTATGTATATTGTTTTCGGTGGTGACTTCGGCACATCTACAGGTGGCCACCTGGTATCGGGTATGTCATTGTTTAATATCGCATAGCCTGTGTATAAACATCCCGTGTAATCTATGTAACCTGCATGAATCAATCATGATTCAACTCCAATATTTGAATCATAGGAATGTTTGAAAATATCAGCATGATTGCATGAAATCCCTGTTTAATCCTACATTTAGTGAAAAATACAGAATCGTTTCGTTTGAGCAGTTATACTGGTCTTAGAAAAATACCACGAAACATTTGCAACAACCCGCGCAATAGCGGAAATCTACAGAGAACTAGAGGTATGTGAGTTAGCACGCTTTCCTTGTACTAGATCCATATGACACATATAGTGTAGGAACGTTTCACAGCGTAAAATACTTTACTCTTTAGTTCTACATACTGCTCGTCTAACTTAACCTTTTTATTATCCAACAAATGTGACCAGTTGGATTAAAATGTCGCATCCAACCCTAGTTGTGTCTAGAATAAAGATTACAAGAGACATCAGAAATTTACATTTTCTTGCTGAGAATAATAATTTAGTAAGGAATATAAAATAACTTGTTTAGAAGTGACCTTAAAAAGCAGTAAATGATAACTAAAACAACGCTATACCATCTCTAGTTGAACAAATGTAATTGAAATTCTTACAAAAAAAATATAGTAATTTTAAAGCACTCAATCCTGATCGGGATTAAGCTTTAGGCATTTACTGACATTGATGGGACATGAAAAACCTCTAATGGATTTTTGCTTTTATTATACTTCTTATCATTTCTCGGTATAATCTGTATGAATGAACTAAATATATTAGCCTTTTAAAGTTCCTTAATATTAGGTCATTGAAGCCAAAACTTCTTTTGGGCATTTTAATCATTGTTCGAGATCGCGTGGAATCTTATATCCAAAGTTTTAAAATTATTGATTTTTCAAAAAAATAAGCAAAATACTAAGCAAACAATTTCACACCGCATTGTCTCCCACAAAAACTTGTTTCGATTACTCGTGTAAAACATAAAAACCTATGTACATAGCATAAATAGGTAGGTATCTACTTATACGGTCTCCATAAGTAAGTTAAATAAAATAACACACGCTGTCGATTCATTTAAAATTTTCTTTTTTCAATGTAATAATATCGCATAGATGTGTTATCTAATATATCAATCAAGATAAAAAGTAACTTTATGAATAAGAAATAATGTAGCATTCTATTAGTGAAATAGTTTTATCACCTACATCAAATATATGTATATTTTATGTTATTATATTTTTTCCTTTTTACATAGGTATATAAATACATACTTCTGAAAGTATTGTAACATATCCTACGAATAAATAATAAGTCTTATTTATTCGTAGAACATCCATTAATATTATAAATGTGAAAGTGTGTTTGTTTGTTTGTCCTTCTGTCACGTCGAAACGGAGTGACCGATTGGCGTAATTTTTGTGTGGAGATAATTGGAGGGCTGGAGAGTGACATTGGTCACTTTTCACCGCGGGACATTACCTAATTCGCATGGGAAAACAAGTTATAATACAATCCAACAAAATATTTATGATCAGAATTGCTTGAAACTTGGTATTAATGCTAATTATATTTATTTAAATAAAATTAAATAAATATGTGTTTTAGAATTTTTCGAAATTCATCATTTATGGGGGTAAAATTGGGGATGAAAGTTTGTATGAAACTAACTTTTTAGGGATTTTTTTGTAGTTTTAGCGCGAGCGAAGCCGCGGGTTCTGCTAGTATCCTATATATTTTAGGCTATAATGGTGGTAACAAATTACCTGACGTGAATGTGCGTGCTCGTTGCTCGACATGTGTCAATTTTCATTAACTAATTCCCTGATCCCGCTCTGAGTATATAAAATGAAAAAGAAATGTAATCTTTTAACAAACAAATGTAGTGTACATTGCAAATTTATAGTCTCGTACATTTTAACGGTTAGTATAGATTTCTCAAAAGATGAGATATTTTTCGGCAATAAAAATATCCTATATATTGACCAGGATATCCAGCTATTATCATACCAAATTTAATCAAAATCTATCCAGTAGTTTTCTCGTGATGCGTTCCCAGAAGAGAGACAAAAATTCTAAAAACTATAGATTCGGCCTCTGTATCGATAATGAAATAATATCGATATGACTATTTCAATAAGATATTCCAAAAAAAACATTTTATGTGCAAATTGGACTCAGAATTTTATTATACATATGTATAAATCAATTCATTCCAACATTTTGTTACATCAAAACAAAGTCCAAAGTATTATTGTAAAACAATTTCTTAGTAATCGCATTATCTGCAATCGCTCTAATTATAAATGCATAACACATTCGTGATGTGAAGAAAATCGCATAGTTACGAGAGATGAACAAAAACTTGCCATGCGTGCAGCCTGGCGATGGCCTAGATATAAGAATAGCACTTACTCCGTAGGTGCATTAGAGTGTTCTCCTGTAACTCCTTTTTTAGGTCAGCTTTTAGATTAGGTATTGTGTAAATGGAGCCACATATCATTGGGTTGCTTCAAAGAAATCTCATGTATATTTGTCTTACATGCATTGAATGCTACCATTATATTACCATTAACCAACTTTAATAAAAAGGTTATATATTAATATTATTAACGTAATCCTTTAATATAATTATTGGCTTAGCTCCTTTGACGTAGTAAAAATAAAAGCTTGGAATAATATAAGAATGCTGCATAATATGTCAAAGAGAGCGAAATCTATACATATAATAAAATTCTAAGTCGAATCTGTACATTAAATATTTTTTGGAAAATATTATTAAAATAGACATTATTATCGATACAGAGGCCGAATCTATAGTTTTTAGAGTTTTTGTCTGTCTGTCTTTCTGTTACCGCACCACAGAAAAACCAATGAAGGGATTTATATGAAATTCGGTATGATGATAACTGGTTATCCGGGTCAACATATAGGATACTTTTTACTGCGGAAAAATATCGCATCTCCGAGAAATCTATACTAAACGTTAAAACATAAGTAGGGACGAACCCGCGAGCGAGGGTGAGTCGCTAGTTAATAATAATATGATAAATGTTTATGCTATGCACGTTAACTTAGCTTAGAAAACTTACGTACCATGACTTAAGTCAATTGTCATACGAATATTATTTCCCAACTCCTACATATCTAAAGCGCCCTAAATTTCAATTTGTTAATAAATTAAACGTTAATGTCATTATGCAAGAGATCACCACAAAATTTCCCTCGACGATTCTTGTAAGAAATACTATAAAAATCTTAATTACTTTATATAAAAAGCTTGCTCTTTACTCCAATAAAACTACATAAAGGTAGCATAAATACAAGTATTGTATCTGATTAAGTATGGAGTAGTACAAAGCTTTACATGGAATTGAAATAAAAAGCCTGCATATTTCTCAGACAATTTCCATGAATTATGAGCAAACCATTCCCATCGTAGTTTTACATTTTAATGACAGAAAAAGTTTTCAATTTTAAGTTTTTGCTATAACATTGAATGTAACTACTTTTTAAGGCCTTGACAAAGTAAAGAGTAAAAGTAGATTGTGCAAGGATGAAATTATAGTTATCCTTTTAGTTTTAAATACAAATGAAAGTTACACAACGTACATGTGTCATTTTTTTTATTGCAAAATTATTTCTCACCTTGATTTATTTTAAACAGATTCAAATAAAATCAGTCAAGTGCGAATCGAATTTGCACACGAAGGGTTCCGTACCATCATACACGTAATTTTTATTAATATGACTTTTACGCTATGTATGTAGTATATTAAGTTCGATGATCGATTACGAACGGTAAAACGATGTTTCTTGTACTTTTATTTATTTTTATTATTTGTTTTTATAGCAGCAATAGAAATACATACTCTGTGAAAATTTGAACTCTCTACCTATTACTGATCATGAGATACAACCCTCTGACAGATGGACGGACGGACGGACAGCGGAAGCTTAGTAATAGGATTCCGTTGGCACCCTTCAGGTACGGAACCCTAAGATGGAGGTATTCAGCTATATATTTTGAAAGTTTGAAGTAAAAATTTATCATTTTATGAATAATACTCACCTAAAACCTTTCTTTTCTATACTTTCTTTGCTTTACAATAATTGCAATAATATGCTATTTATAATATAATAATTATTATAATTAATTATATACTATTTCATTTTTACATAATGCGTCACTTATTTAAAGACCTAGAATATAGTATTAACTTAAAGATATGCAAGAATTTTATGCATCGTCTACAACTTCGTATATGTACATATAATTTACATGAGAACAATTTCTTTACCTTCACGCATTGCTCATTGAAATCCAACATTCGTTATATCTTCATAGAAGTTGAACTTTAGTTCAGAGTTTCTGTAATCAATATGTATTGATAACGAATGCGATACTTTCCGCTTCTTACCTGTTATAGGCTATTGATACTAAGTATCAGATCATATTCATTGTCCGTGGAAACAATGATATGTTTATCGCTATGTGTTACATTTATTTAACACTTACGCATAGTTTCAGGGCTTGTCTTCTTTGCTGTTTTTCAATTGGTACTCTTCAAAATGTTTCATTTACTGTTCTTTAACGTTTATTTTCTTCAAAACTAAAGTAACTTTGATCAGCAATATATTATTTCCAATACAAATTTTATAACTACCTCTTACCCAAAGAAATGTCTAAAGTAACTGATATTATTTATAAGAAATTAAAATATAACTGCTTCTTTAACATTGACGCTTTCTTGCTTAATAACTTTAAAGTTAAAACTGGTATAAAATAAATATATTATATTCTTCATTATATATTATAGTTACGCGTATTTTTAATTTGTGCCATAAATAAGATTTTTTTTTAAATCAAAGATAAATATTTTTTTCTCTTAAGCAAGCTTATCCATTGCATAACAAGCCTGTTCTCGTATCCTCATTGCAAACGAGAAATACTTGAAGTCAACTCGACTTAATAAACTTTGCTAAATTTAAATACAGTCCAAGACTTTACCTATATTTGGTAATGTCAAATGACGACAGCAAAAAAAAAAATACAGCAATAACTTTTTGCGAGCCTAATTTTATGTGACCTTATTGATTTATATGTCAG